TAAAGTTGTTTCATAAAAACCTGTGACAGTGTCTTTTTTTAAGAGTTACAAAGTCATTTCTTATCATTGTTATTATTATTTCCAAAGCTGCTGCATTGGTATTTAGCTGTCAAATCTGCTCTGTAGGTACATCCCAGAGCTGTGTGAACTGTTCTCTGTGGTGTCAGTATTTTTTTCTCTTGCATATGAATTGGCTTGGATTCATTATTCAGCTACAGTTTGACGATGCTAATAACAGAGTTTAAAAAAAAAAAGATTTCGGTCCGACAGCTCAGAGCATCGAACTGGATATATCTATAGAAAATAAATAGGTGAAAGTAGAGACTGTGAACAGCAGCAGTTTATTCCTGTCTTTTCAATCTTTTCAGCCATAAGAAGGATTCAGTAGGATCCCTGACCGAAAATACAGTACAGTTGAGTGATGCTGCAGTGTTCTGCTTATTATTGTAGCACTGTCACGCATCTGTTGGTTTAAGAAAGTATGTACTGTACACTGCTGTGCAAATGCTGTTGACATTTTGCAACAACTATTCTTTATGCTCTTGTTCTTTGAGCACAAGCATATTCATGCCATGATCGTTTCCTTAAGTCTTTTCCATTTTGTTTGATGTTCACTCTTTTTACTGACATTTACTTTCACTTTTACTTTAAGGAGATCTTTTATATTGCAGGATAACTAGATGCCTTCCTACATGTAGTCTGTAGTCGATAAATAAGAACAGCCATTCACTGGTACTCCAGAGAGTATACAGCAGTCATGTTTGTTATTTCTAGATTTACTGCACTAAAACTTTGAGCACAAGTCTCCAAATAAGAAAATCATATCGTGTGAGAGGTGTTAGGTTCGTCTGCAAACAGCAAGTTTCATATTTCAGGTTTTCCTGAGCAGAGTAGTGTGAATGCTTTGTCTGGTGTCTTTTCATGCTCAGATTATTTGCACACAGATTGGTACTGACCACAAAATGGCATCATTAAGTGCACATTTTGTATTTTGCAAAGCACATTTGTTTTACACCAGAGAGAAATGCCAGCTGCTGTTTTTGTAACAATAGCTTTTGTGCAAATCATAGACTGTCAACCGGCACATTTAACATACGTTTTTATGAAATAGCAACAGGAGAGAGATGTCATTCAAACTAATTGTCAACTGTTCCCTTGCTTGTTATGTTTGAAACAGCAGTTTTCTGTTTTGTGCAGCTTAGATTTTACATTGTTATTCTGATTTTGTAGATGCTGAAGCCGGACAAAAACTCTAAAGCTATGTCAATCCATTATTGTCTAGACAGTCTATAAACACTGATAATATATAGATCCAGAACCAGCCCAGCCTGATCTGATCTGATTACAGCAGACACTGGCTCACTGCAGGTGAGAATGCTCATTCTGTTTCTTAGTGCCCTCTGTTTGGGACAGGGCAGCTTTCATACATGAAGAAGCACAGACACAGCACCTCAGGCAAAGAAGACTTCCTGTGGAAGAAACATAATTTGTTAAAACACAAAAACAAACTGCCAGATGAAGTCATATCATATGATATGAACCCGAACTGCTATATGAACTGCTAGACGGCTCATGATGGAAAACGAATGGAAGTTTCATTTGTTGTTACACTGTGCTGTAGGAGGTGTTGTCCTTAAGATGCGACAATAAAATTAGACCCTGACTACACGGTTTTTAAAGTTTCCATGGAAGCTTTCAAAAGAGTGGAGGTGTCATCCCTGATGTTCCTGACAAATTCCACTTTGTGACTTGAAATGGTGAAGCGGTGTCTCACCTATCAACATGATATCACCCAAGTGGGGCAGATAGGAAACACAATTAATGATTGCAAAGTCATCACAGCACATGTAAATTGTGTCCACTGGAAAACTGTGAAACTCTGTATTAAAAAGGGAAACTCGAACAGCAAAGTGGGGAAGTCATTTCCACTGCCAGTGTCTGTAGCCCATACCGCTCACTGTCAGCTAAGAGGAAAGTATTGCTCAACAGTGGCATTAAGATCAGCAGTTCTCCACCTCTTGTGACCGGGTAGGATAAACTACCCAAAATGAGTGTTGGAGAATATGATTGAGATTATATTACGTCTCCAAGGAATTATTACTCTCTCTGAAAGCCAATATCTGATATAAATAGCTGAAACTATGTGGTGATAACTCTCTTAGTACAGTGATAGTAAATGAGTAATGCCAATAAAAGTAAATGAATGGAGACCTGGAAATTGAGTTCTCGCACATTTGCCAAATAATAATTCATTCTAATCCTTTCAATATATCATAGTGCTATCATCGAAGCATCCCAGAGTATTTCAGTTGACCCACTTCGTCTACCACAAAAGTGCAGAATCCTGAGTAGGGCCTGAGAAATCACTTCACCAGCTGAATTACCATTTACCAGGGTTAATACCCCTGTTCTTATGAACAGTGCCAAAGGATCATTATTGACCAGGTAGTCAGCAGCTTATTTTTGCATCTCATGTGAAAGACAACTTCTTCTACAATACGGCCTCCCTAGTCACCATGCTGACGCATTGCTTTGGAAACTCTGGTCTGTAGAAAAGAGCGCCTCCTACTGGCCCATCAACAACACAATGTTTGACCAGTACTGACCGGGTCCAGCCTTTGCTTAGCATCTGAAATCTGGCAAGGTCGGGCTACAAGGTAAAAAAAGCTGCGCTATTGGTACTTTCCATTTCCCATTCATTAGTTCAGGAGAGGAAACATGTTCCTCATTATACTGAATGGCCAGATGGGATTCTTCATCCTCTTGACCTCGTAAAGTTCTATTTCAAGTCTTTTTCCATGCAGAATAGTTTTGGCTCATGGAACAGGTATCTATGTGCTTTGCTTCCCATTTCTAGTATGAATTTGTAATCTAATGTCCTTGTCCTTCATCTGGGACATGCATCATCAAACGTTTTCTGCAACCATTTCCATAGCTGAAAGAACACACTGTAGTGTGTTTGTTAATATATGGCTGGGTTAGTGTCGCTTGCTGTTCTGACATTGTTCATCTATGCTGGCATACATTAAAGCTGAATACTGAGAGACTGTGTGGAGAAGCGTCTTTTATTAAATGGCTGAGAGGTGTAGCACCAAATTGATTCACCCGGAAACGTTCTGATAGTCAGGCCTGAGAAGTCTTCAGATGCTGCATCTGTGGTAGAAAAGAGCGGGACAAAGGACACCGCAGAGGCACAAGATGGATCGGATGTCGCTGCTCAATGATATTAAGAGGGAATGAAGTGTCTGTGGTAATGACTTATGTCTCTTACCTAGAGAAGGTTCGTAGCCCTGTGTCACTTTTAAATGTGTATCAGCAGCAAGAACAGCGTAAAAATGGAGCATCTATAATAACACGCACAAGCCAGAACGCACCAGGAAGTAATTATTATATAACCCTGACAAACCTTTCGCGATAAACCATAACAGCTGTCTGTTTGGGAGCTATTAGAAAATACTGTTGGAAAAATTGTACATGATTACCACGTCTAACAGGAAGGATGGCAGGTTTAGTCATACTGTATGCGTTACAGTTCACAGGTTCATGGTCACAGTGAGATCTATTAATGAGCACATTTTATACATTTGACAGCACATCATCCATAAAATGGACTGTTGATCAGCTGTGTGCAGTGTACTGTGTGTAGCTTCAGTTTGCCAGTGTTTGGTAGCAATAGCAAAACAAGTGTAGCATTCTGTCCATGACCAGAGAACATCATTCACAGATTGCAGAAAGGGTCGATATGCTTTGTCTCCTGCATGTGAACACAGGAAGCTGAGGGGTACTGGGTACTGTTCTTTCACTCTAACCCATCATTCGGTATTATCATTTTTTTGAAGGTCCATCACCGCTGACAAACAAGTGTTGGGGTGATGCGTTTTGAGCCTCTCTGATCACCCTCCTTCTCCCCATGCGGGTATTGGGGTGATCACTGTGCTCCCAGGCCTTCTCACACAATCAGCGATTCCAGATGGGGTGGGTGCATTATAAAAGAGAATTGACAGTTCTTCACGTTGGAATGTGGTGTATTCACAGGAAATATGGTAGCCTTGATTAGTTACCTGTTCACACTTGGGTATGAGAAGTTTTTAAGGCTTTTCGTGGAAAAAGTTGTACTTTTTTTTAATTGTGTAGGTTAATTTTTCTGAGTCTCGTGTAAAGATCACTTGAAACCTAATTACGTTTTTTCTTACAGACTTAATTTGGCAATGTTAATAGGTTTGTGTGAATATTTTGACACCAAGAGATAAACCAAATTCAGGTGTGACTCTCCTTTAAGGGAAGAATGCTTGTTTAATCCCCAAAATACTGCTTCTGAGTCCATTTCTCATGTAACCACTCAGTATCTGTAAGTGTCAATTCCTCAAAACAGGTTTGGAGCTGGGAGACTTTTTTTCCCATTAGAAAGTAGTGCTGAGAATTAGGCAGAGTAAGAGTTCCCTTCCCAAGCAAAGTTAATTCACAGTCTTTTAAATGAGCCAATTATATATCCTTCCAGCCCCTACATTTATTTTAGTGAGTGAGGGCCCGTAGGAAATGGAACTCAAATGTTCTGTGATATTTAATAAGTCTACAGATTATTCTAACCTTCAATTTGTTTATGGGATTTTCATACAGTATAAAGTTAGCTGTCAAATCAAACAGCTGTGTTGTGTAAACTGTGCACCTCGGAGCTAGAAATTTTAAGGAGCAGCACCCTCCCAAAGACCCTGAACAGCTTCATTGAGCTCATCGCCAGGTCTTTCCACTCCTGACAGCCATCAGAGACTCCCATGGCGGTCTCCTCACTAGCAAGCTCTGGGTGGCGCACTGGAGCATTTTTCCCATACTTCCCTTTGTATGTGTGCCGCAGTTTTAGAAGGGTCACAAAGCAGTTGCCAAATACTGTACTTTTGCCAGCACCTCAGTGCCGATGCGGGGTCAGAAACCAGGTCAGCAGATTAAGCCTCAGCTGGGGTCTTCCCGCTGTAACCCGCGCTTTGTTCCTTGTGTTTCCGAAGGGGCCACAAGCGCAAGCTGCAGGAGGCCAAGGAAGGCGACGACGACTCGGGCAGCGAGTCCAGCAAGGCGTCGAGTAACGAGGATGAGGAAGGCAGCAGTTCGGAAGCGGACAAAATGGCCGCCGCTCTCGAAGCGGAGCTCAATGACTTCATGTGATGGGAATGGCCCGCTGGTCCCGGGGAGAGACTTCTGCTCTCGTCGCTTCAGAGCCACGAGGTCGTCGTTCATGTGCGAAACCCCACAGTGGCCACCCTGTGTGAATGAAATGAAACCAGCAGTGTGTGTTTGGGGAGACTCGGTGTGTGTGTATAGTTATACGGCTAGAATAGAGAATTTTAGCAGTTTATGTGAAATATTAAAAAAGGAGAATAAAAGCTGTTTTAATGTTTTATTGTGAAATAAAATAGATGAAAACTTGTTTTGTGTATGTTTTATTTGGGTTACTTTGTTTTTTATAAATGTAAAAAAAAAAAAGAAAAATGGTCAGGTATGCCAAAGAGTTTAAACAGGGCACTTCTGAGCCTGCAACAATGTTTTTTTCCTGCTTTTCTTTCTGTTTTTAATGAGTAATTGACATTGTATTTCATTACAGCCATGTAACTAGCAGCACCATGCAGAAAACTTTTGAATAAATGGAAAAATTAGATTTTTTATCAACAGTAACCTTAACATATGAGCCAGATTTGTCTACCCATGATAAAACAAGGTTCAACTATAACAATTAAGGAGTGGGTACTCTGGGTTTATCCTACCTGGTGTTCTCCTCGTCTTGTCTTTTACGAGACGATTGTGGAATTTTAAGATTGTGACAGCTGCTGCACTATGCTTTCCAAAACCCGGGTTCTGTAAGAGTGTAGGTTTTCAGTTTTGCTCTACTCAAACTTTGGATTTTGAACACATCACTCTCTGATCCTTTACTGCCATACAGTGTGGTTCCAGCCCTTGAGCCTGAAAAAACAAAATCTGCCATCATGTTTGAGACTTTTTGTTGTTTTGTTTGAAATGGCAAGACTGATGTAAAGTTTTTGTATATTCTATTTCATATTTGACCTCCAGGAATAATTCTTTTCATTTAATAAAGATTTGTTTTTTAAGTGCTGTCAGAATCCTGTTTTTTTCCCATTTTCTCTGATAAAAGAATGATGTTGGTGAGTGACTGATTGAGGAACAGGATAATTGCATATTGCTTGGTCATGCATTTATACCTGTGTGAAGGGAGATCAAGCACCTACAGTAGCCGTAAAATATTACAGTCTCTGAAGAAGTGAGGCCCTCCTCACTAGTAGGGTGAGGTAGAGGCTTATGGCACACCAGAATGGAGGTAATATTCAGCTTAATGCAGACCAATGAAGCTGTGTGTCACGGACGTCCAAAGGGACTAACCGTGGAGAGCAGGAGAGCGGAAAAAGACCCATATGCGTAGCGGCGAGACGGGAAAAAGGCCCGGGCTCATTAGTGCAAGAGTTCAGGAATGCCGTGTAGAAACCTATGCCCTCAGGGAGCGGACGTGGGGCGCCCTGGTGCTAGGCGGGTCTCAGGACATCCGAACGTCAATGCTGAGCGAGGACAGAGAGCAAGACCCGGAAATATATAGCCCAAGGGAAAGAGAGGGACAGGAAGGACAGCAGACTGGAAACTAGGGACAGGACAGAGAAGGAGCGCCCTCTGGCTGCAGAGGCCGTGATACCGTGGACTTCAAAGTTTTGTTCATACGAGGCTTTAAACTGTACCTTTGACTTATTTCTGTTAAATACAGCAGTGAAGTCAGATGAGTTCTGGAGTAGTAGTACAGTAGAAAATCCATAAACATGACATCACCTCCAACCTGTGGCTTATGACTCGGGTGACAAGTGTGTGTTCTATATTTGTCCCTCCGACGCTGTTGTAAAGAGACTAGCATTCCTTCTAAGGTGCAGTCCTGCCTTGTGTCCTATTTTTCTGGGATAGGCTCCAGGTTGCTGCAACCCTTCCAATGAATCAGTGGTCTTCTAATCTTCGAACAACAGAACTCTTGTGCTGTTTCTTCATTCGTGCCTTAATATTGCTTCCTTGTATGTACAGTACGTTTCTTTTATGTTTATTAAAGCTAGTTATCTCATATTATCTTACATTGTCTGTCAAAGTACGCTCTGCTTTTTCCAGAATGCTTGATAAAACCATCAATTAACCCTGATAATGCAGTCATGTTTTATTCTTTATAAAGAGGCCAGCTTTTTGTAGTGAAGCTAAAAGCTGATGAAATTAAATTCAATTTAAGCTTCTTCTTATTCATTTTATGGAGATCTCTACTCATTGCTATTTGGCACTTTGGGCCAGACACTATTATAACTATTTTAGAAGAGCACTTACTGTAACTTTACAAGCAAGTCTAATCTGAATATCCTGAGGACATGGGTCCAAATTTAAAAACAGGTAGTAATGCCAAATGACAAAAACTGCCACTTGAGTCTGCATAAATTTTATTCAGTTATTTTCTGCTATCATAGTACAGACATTTAGGGATTCAGTTGAGATAGTGTGTTGGATATAGCATTTCTTTAAATAATGGTTATTGGATTAACAGAAATAATTGGTATGTATTTTAAAATCATCAGAAAACATTTTACCATTTACATTTATTAGAGCACTACTGAAGAGTACTAATCTTTGTCCAGCTACCCTTTGTAAAAATATCAGAGAAAAACGTATATTTAATCTCCTCCCTGGCTTTGATCCTTTCTGTTTGAAATGATAAACTTTACTTGTATTGATCACTTAACAGCCCATGGAAAATGGATTTAAAAAACAACAGGAATTGAGCCAGGCCAGGGGGTGGTTTTCAGAGACAAATGAATTATATCTTGTGAGTTCCTGAATCATTTTTTCTTCAAATACATTTCGAAAGAATTTCTCCATCGTCAATCTCATTATTTCACAGGTACTGCCCTGGCTGTTAATCAACACTTTAGACCATGCACTCCACACAGCAAAACATCAGTTTTTTATGTTTCAGAAGTCTCCTTGGGGGGAGCAGCCATTTTTTCACAGGTTGTACAATTTTCAAACCATTTCCCAACTGATGACAGACAAAATAATTCGGAAAGCTAAAAGCCCCTGGAAACTACTGTTACACAGGTAGTAATACAGTCATAAATACTCTATGCAAAAATAGATGGAGAAAATCAAGAAAGCAATTATAGACTTCACTCTAAAACAGTAAAGAGTCCTTCTAGGAAGATGTATTAACAATGCATTGCCAAATGTACAGGCCTTCCTAATCATTTATATTTCCAGAGCTCTTGGTTTTCCTCTGTGCTCTCCCCCATTCACAGTGACAAGCAATTGTACTGTATATGCCATCACACTTCACTGCTCTTGGAAGATATGAAGGACATGTGGGCTCACTGTCCAAATCTCATGGGGTAAAATGCTGCTTTCATGGAGACATGAGTTCCCAGATCTTTCAAGAGAGTTCGAACCCTCAGCTCCACAGGTCTGGGCTGCTTAGGGGCTTTGTGGGTCACAGGATCTGTATGAGCAGCTCGACGAGATGACATTGTGCCCACAAGTCATGAGCCTTTGAAAGATTGGACGCTTACCCAAATTACATCCCAGTGAGAGGCACAAACAAATCACTTGCCTTTATGCTGTGCAGGTCAAAATAAAAACACTTCTGTGCCCTCTGTCTTAGACCCAACATGACTAGTCTGTAGAACTTTAGGTCCCTCAGAGAGTGCAGATGCCCATCACAGGACTGTGCCTGTAGATCCCAAACCACAGCTGATGTGTCCAATGTTTGAGAAAGAAAGTGAGCCCAGAGGAGCAGAGATCCTTCTGTATCTGTAGGATCATGTTGTTGCTGCTTTGCAACCTGCAGTGCTTTGTTACAGTATACGAGCAGCGGAGGTAGTCTGTGAAATAAAAATCAAGGAATTATTTCAAAAACTTTTTTTGTTTTGTTTGTTTGCTTGTTGCATTGCTAAGGCAATGCTCACATGTGGAAAGACTCCGGTCTCCCTGGTGACAACAGCTACAGCTAGCATCAGCCTTCTTGAGTTTCTATATCACATAAAAACTAGTGTGATTCTTGATTTCTCATGGAGTAACCCTCCATTAATTCAATGCCTTTCCAATGGCAAACATATATCGTTTTCTTTGGGTTCATAATTAAATAAGTCTTTGTTTCATCAGGAAGGCTTTAAAATGCAGGTGATGAAGTAAAAAACACTGTTGATGGTTCCAAACATCAAATGGGATGAACAAAAGTAATTCAAAAAAGATCATAAACCTCCATTCTGTCTTACAAGGTGCTAAAGCAGTTATTTTGTGATGGTCTTTGTGGGTCACCTTATATTATGCCTTTTACTCATACATGTAGTTTCCTCCCTTACAAATGATCCTGGGTAGCTCGTAAAATCATGGTTGCATGGTTACATTCATAAATCTTTTATAACTCGATGTATTAAGTGTTACTACCTTGTAGAATCTAGGCTTTATTAATAATTAACTACACATTTATTACAAAATGTCATTGTTCCAATTTATAAATGTTTTATTAATGCATAGTGGTAAATAGCAAACCACTGTGAAGAAGCAACTCGTAAACTAAAGCATCACCAGTTTCTGTCTGAGCATGATATGTACTGTATGATACTCAATCAAAAAGACCCTATCTGTGGCAAGCTGAAAATGTCAGTTCTCAATACCACATCCTTGAACTCTAAAAGAGATTATTAGTATATTGATCATCAGAAAAATAGGAGTCACCTGCATTTATCTTTTCCAGATTTTCACAGGAGAGATGGATGTAAAAAACATTCTCACGCATTACACTGCCTAACAGATAAGGCAGCTTGTTGGGATTGAATTAATATTCCCTTACTGTATAAATACCATGCTGAAGAGTTGCACTGTGTTCTGAGTCTGTTGAATTAGAAAGGAGAGTGTTTGGTCTTCCCCAAAGCAAGAACATAATACCAAGTATGATTTTGGAATTGTGTTGTGTTTTTGTTTGATGTTTCAATGTCTCAGCATAACGACGGAATCCTGCCCCGATTTCTCAGGCTGAGACCTGGAACTTGAGCCTAATGAATACAAATGTTTATAATCATAATAATTCCTTACACATTATATACTGTAGCACTTCTCTGGACACATTTTACATTTTAGATTATTTTGCAGAACAAATCCCACATGTAATAATTATAATAATAATAATTGCTTACACTTATATAGCACTTTTCTGGACACTCCACTCAAAGCGCTTTACAGGTAATGGGGACTCCCCTCCACCACCAATGTACAGCCCCACCTGGATGATGCAACGGCAGACATAGTGTGCCAGAACGCTCACCACACATCAGCTCTCAGTGGGGAGGAGAACACAGTGATGAAGCCAGTTCATAGATGGGGATTATTAAGAGGCCATCTGGTAAAGGTCAGGAGGTAAACACTCCACATCTTTTCCAGAAATTTCCTGGGACCCCAGTTTTACATTTCATCTGAAAAAGGGCTCCTTTTTAAAGTATGTCCTCATCACTATACCAGGGCATTAGGACCCACACAGACTGCAGGGAAAGCGCCCCTTACTGGTTCTGCTAACACCTCTTCCAGCAGAAACCCATTTACACAATGGTTTAAGCAATACTATGCTAACAATAGTCTTGTTACTTGAGGAGAAAGTCATGTTTATGCAATTTGTCTGAAGTTTGTCTAAGGTTGTCAAACTGCAAATTTTCAAAGTTTAATTCAATTTTTGACATGATTTGGTATTTTCTAGTTTTAACTAGTTTTATTAAAATGCTGCAACCCGGTAAAAGTAGACTTTTATAGTAGCAACAAAACATTGTTAACATTATTCTTTGGAAATGTAAACTATTTTAAATTTAAAACAACTTGCGGATTAGAACATTGAAGTCAGAACAACCCTAAAATTTCAGATTTTATTATGTTCACTTTCTGTGTCCAATGGGTAGAGTGTTAAAGAACTAATTGCTGTCAGTGGCTGATTAGATATCATGCCTGCTCTCCCAACAGATGAGTCACGTGCAGACGCAATCACAGACAGCTAAGGACAGAGTGCAGAAACCAAACCTGTAGCCCCACTTTGCACTGA